AAAAAAAAAAAAAAAAAAAAAAAAAAAAAAAAAAAAAAAAAAAAAAAAAAAAAAAAAAAAAAAAAAAAAAAAAAAAAAAAATAGCAAAATCGAAGAATTGCAACATGAAATTATTAGGATTAAACGAAACGCATTTTACCTAGGGAGGGGTTTCTCGTCGCCTTGAGTTCTTGGTGACGATTTTCACAACTCTGTTTTCTCCAACTACCCATACGATTGAAATTCAAAACGCAAAAACGCCGAAGAAGAAGAAGAAGAACTGATGCGATTTTCGAAACCTAAACAGAAAAATAACCGACATAGAAACAAGGCGCGGATTCTGAGATACAGAAATAGAGAATTAATAATAAGAACAGAGAGATTGAATCAAATCTTGGGTGAGAGAAACTCTAAAAAAATATATTTAAAAAAATTTAAAAATAAAACAAAATAAAATAAGAGAAGAATTTGGATTGGCCGAGGAATATCAGAATCCAGAGGACTTCCAAAATTCACACCTAATTATTATTAATTTAATTAAATATTCATCCCTTACCTTACGCAAAAAGTCTCTTCACTTCTTCCTTTTTTATCTTCCGGTCCCTTCTTTTCATTATATTCCCATTTTATGCATGCCAAAATTTATCCCCAAGTCCCTCGTCTATTACTTAATTCTCATTTTCATCTTCAAAATTTTAAATTTTAATTTATCCTCCAGTCCCTCATCTATTTACTAATTCTCAATTTCATCTTTTAATTGTATTAATAAAACAATTTTCCTTTCTTTTCTTTTCTTTTTTTGTAGAAAGGACTTGATTGTAAATTGATAGTTTATTTGGGGTAAAGTTGAAAATTCAAAATGATTAGAAATCAAATGGAGAAATATTATAAAGATTAGGGACGGATGGGTAAATTTATAATTATTAGAAACGGGTCCTTGACTTGACTTTAATTTTGTGATGACCCAACTAACTTGGTGTTCAAGATTTTAGCGTGCGCGACGGAACCGAAGACCCACTAACTTTGTCATCACTGGTTTTTCTTCACATGTCTTGCACGAGCTTTTAATCTCTTATTAAATAAATAAATAAATCCTATATACATTTAATTCATTTTTACAAATAAAAATTTATTGAAGGAATGAATTATTTGTTTTCTAAATTATTAATCAATTAGATACCATAATTAATTAGCCACTTACATTATTTATTTATAATCAATCAATTATTTACTAATTAGCTTATTTTAATTTTATAGCATTATTAATTAATTCAAATGTAATATTATTTGATAAATCTTATATTACTTCTTTTTCATTATTTTATAAATAATTTATCATAATCCTATAAAGTTTACCACGTGGCCGTGTTTGATTTGTTAAAATATAACCTATACAACTAATTCTTTGGTTATTGTATTAATTATCTAAAATGAAAATTTATATAGTCTTATTTAAAAATTATTTATTTGGGAGTGATTATTAAAATTGACGTTAAATTAAAAATTATTTAAATAAGTTCAGTAAATAAAAATAAAATATAAAATATAAAAGTATTTATTTATATAAAATTGTGATGAATTATCAAATAGCTTATTCCCAGATTAGTGTTTAAATGATGATTAGTCCCCTAAGGTGAGGGAGATTAGTTAATGAGGTTCATAAAATAACAAGAACTAAGATTTCTATTTTTAAGTTTGTTGTGATGTTGGAAGCGATCGCCATTTTCGTCGCAGTTTTTTTCTGTGAGGACACTAATTTGTTGCCTCCCATTTTCTTACAAATGGAGCTTCCAGCGTTCGGGCATTCCACTTTGTATCAGACCTTTTTTTTCTTGTCGGTCTCAACTCGCCCTCCCCTGTGTATGTGATTTCCTCTGTCTAATCGCCGCCGCTCATAGGACAACAAGGCCTTCTATTCTTCCTTGTTGGGTATGTTATGTTTTGCATTGTAATTTCATCCATCTTTTTGTGTTTTTTCTTTTCGATTTATCATCGGTTAGGTTTTTGTTGGATAGATTGTTTGTTTGATGGAGTTGAATCATGAATCTATGAATATTATGGTGGTTGCAGGCCTATTGAATTAAATAATTTGGCGTTTGCTTTGGAAATTTTGAGAGTGGGCTTGTTGTTATAATATCAAGGAAAAGTAAATAAATAAATAAATAAATATGGGGAGCTGTGTATCAACTCATGCTAAAATAGTGCCGACGACCAAGAAACATCATCGTCGACAGTCGAGAAAGTCGAAGGGAAGATTGGGGAATTCCATGGTTGAGGGAGTGAAGAAACGACATAGCAATGCAGGAGGCGGTGTAGTCACTGATTATGCTGTGAGTGAATTTGTTCATATGGATTTTGAACATGGCGCCACCACCACTTGTCGGAGATCTGAAGTTACCAACTCCACTTTCCACCTCACCCAATTGCAATGGCAGCACAGCCAGTTTGATGCTTCTGGTATCCATTCAATCATTCTAATTCTAGAACATGAACTGAAATCTCGAACACTGCTATACTCATTTCAAGTCTCAATCCGTGTCGTGTCGTGTCGTCTGAAGTTATTGATGTGTGTGTGCTTACAGGGATTTGCCAAGAGGAGTTGTGGTATGATTCTATGAGCTTAGTGGATCAGTCTGATTCAGATGATGACTTCAGTAGCGTAATTGGGGGTAATTGTAAGCTAACTATGAGTATCATTGGAACAATATTTTGCCCTTTAAACGTGCATTTCCCTGACTCTAATCTTCCTGCAGATGGGTTTCCAACAGTGCCAACAACTGGCCAAGTGGTTCAGTATGAAAGATCAGCATGTTTTGTGGACAACAAGTGCAAATATGAAGAGTTTTGTGAGAGTTACTTGAAAATAGATGGAGGAGGAAAGCCAACAAAGTTCATAGGAAAGGAGAACTTTGAAGAATCAAGCACCTACGCCATCGTGAGCGCTCCTGGCTGTGGCCTTTCTTGCTTGGCCAAGGCTGAAGCCTGTGGGAAAAAGAAGACATTGTTGGATCATTCTCATGGAAGCTTCAAAGGCCTCAAAGTTGATAGACCAAGCCATGAAGACAACAACTCTAGCTTGAGAAAGTTGGTGTCAGCTGCTAGCTTCAATGAGAAGATCTTGAACTCGCAGCCACCTCAGAAGATGCAGTCTGCTGTCTTTCGGCTTTCGTTTAGGCGGCGGTCGTGTGATGTTGGTGAACCCAACGAGCACTGTACGTATACACTCCATTTGGACAGCACTTTTCAAAATTTTCAATGGGTCTGGTCCTTACAAAAGTTTTGTGCTCACAAATTTAGGTGAGTCTAAGAAGTACTTATACCGTCCACGAGCTGGGCATATCATTCCACGGTTCAAAGGAGATAAGCCAACTCCTGGATGTTGGTGTGAGATTCCACCCTCAACTTTTAAGCTCCGTGGTCCTAACTATTTCAAGTATGTTCTAGCTGCATTTCTTGGTTTTTCTACAAAAACAAGAACTTGATCCATTTTCTTCGATTAACAGAGATAGGATGAAGTCCCCTGCTTCAAACTTTAGTCCATACGTACCGATTGGCGTCGACTTGTTCATATGTCCTAGAAAGATAAACCACATTGCACAGCACCTCGAGCTTCCGAGCATTGAAGCTAGCACCACGGATGTGCCTCTGTTGCTCATTGTTAATATTCAGGTACTCATTCTTCCTTATCACTAGCATATTGTGATATTGATATCGATATCGGTTAGAAATTACGAACCTCCACAATGGTATGATATTGCCCAACTTGAGCATAAGCTCTCGTGGCTTTGCTTTTAGTTTCCCCAAAAAGCCTCATACTAATGGAGATATATTTCTTACTTATAAACCCATGATCAACCCCCTTTAATTAGCCGACGTGGGACTCTCTCCCAACAAGCCTCAACATTATCTAGCTCGAGATCTTGGAAGCTTTTTTAATGGCTTTTTTGTGTGGCAGCTGCCTACTTATCCAGCTGCAATGTTCCTTGGTGATAGTGATGGGGAAGGGATGAGTCTTGTTTTGTATTTCAAAGTTTCTGATAATTTCAACCAGGATATCTCTAGTCATTATAAGGAGAATATCAAGGTAGCTTCTTCTCCTTTGATTATTGTTGAGCATAAAGATTCATCCAACGGTTATTACGAGACTGATATTTGCACATTCGTGTCGTAGAAATTTATCGACGACGAGATGGAAAGGAGCAGAGGATTTGCAAAAGAATCGGTTTTTCCATTTAGAGAGAGGCTAAAGATCATGGCAGGACTTGTTAACCCTGAGGATCTCCAACTAAGTTCCACAGAAAAGAAGCTTGTAAATGCCTACAATGAGAAGCCTGTCCTCTCACGCCCTCAGCACAATTTCTTCACGGTAAAATATCATAACCCTTTTCGGGTTTCTCAAGATTTATATCTACCTAAACTTTCAATTTATTGTTCGTAACGTTTCTTTGATATAAAGGGTTCAAATTACTTCGAGATCGATTTGGATATTCATCGCTTTAGCTACATATCAAGAAAGGGGCTCGATTCATTCCGAGACCGTTTAAGGAACGGAATAATTGATCTCGGTTTAACAATCCAGGTAAGAGAATCTCCTTTGTTTTGGGATTTTGATGAGGAAAAATTGATAGATATGAATATATTTGTTTGTGGTATGAACAATGATCAGGCACAGAAGCCAGAGGAATTGCCTGAGCAAGTGCTGTGCTGTTTAAGGTTGAACAAGGTTGATTTTGTGGATCAAGGACAGCTCCCAACATTAGTTACCATTGAGGAGGAGGATTGATTGAGATTGATGAGCCATTTTCCAAACTATATTTTGTAAATTTCTGGGGGAAATATATAATCAAATCTCTTTTCTTCCAATTTTATTCCCCAACGATCATTGTTCTTCGTTTTCTTATTGACCCCTCATTCTCATTCTCATTCTTTCCTTTATTATTTCTATCAATTATAACTCCTGTGCGTATGTGTATTCATCTTTATCTTAATAAATTTAAAGCATAATTTATAATTATTCATTTGAGTTAAAAGGTGACTATTTGAATTGAGTTTGAGAAGAAATGCTATCCTAATGCCCTAAACAAGCTCGAAGCTGTATAAATTGTTGAGCAACTAATACTTACTTATAAAGAACGAACGAATTTTTACGCTTCATAGCCCATTGTTTATGGTCTTTTTCTAAAAGTTAATATAATGATAGTGTGAGATCCCGGATTTGGAGATCTAACATTGAGAAGTTGGCTGTGATATGTAATGAGCCAAGGAGGACGATATCTTTTAGTAGGGCTTGGGCTATTACAATGGTTGTGCTCCAATGGGTGATCCCACATCATATGGAGAGGGGGTGGTGTGCTAGGCTAGCTCCAATTGGTGGATTGTGAGATCTCACGCCAGATGGAGAGGGAAACGAAGCTTTTCTGGTGGCCCTAAGTGGGTGGATTGTGAGATTCCACATTAGATGGATAGGCTTTCCGCTGGCCCCAAGGGGTGGATTGTGAGATCCCACAATAGATGGATAGGGTAACGAAGCTTTCCTTATAAAAGTGTAGAAACCCTTCAAGTAAATGCATTTTAAAACTATAAGGCTAACAACTATAAGTAACGGGTCAAAACAAACAATTAGCAGTAGATTTGGACTATTACAGATCATGATTATACTTGAATACATTGAGACATGAACACCCTAGTCGTCAAGAGGTACTCATCTCCTAAATGAGACCACAAAAGGTACCACCCAAGTAGAGAGTTCTCCACCAGTTGGGGACGAGCTGAGCCGACTAAACTTAGAACATAATGATATAAAAGGTGATTCATAATTGAGGAAGGACTCTTATATCGATAAAATCGAGAACTAAAATTAAACAAATCTAATCCAACCGACCCAACCCAAACCAAACCAAAATAGCACAAATTGGCAAACAAAAGTGTAGTAAGTTGAATGTGAACTGAGTAAGAGTGGTCTCTACCAGAATCGGCGGAAAGCTTCCCGGAGAGCGGCGATGGCGAAAACAGCGGTTAAGACAAATGGGGTATGGGCGATGTAGGAAGATCTCAGAGCACTGCTCTTAGCGTTGAAGGGGGAGGCCGAGGGCGGCGGAGGCAGGTGCCAGACATGGATAGCGAGCTTCATGCCTCCATAGCAAAACCCTTTACCGCTTATGAAGTAATAAGGTCCGGTGACATTCAAATGAACCACATCTCTTCCAGCTCCGGTGGTGAAATTATGGAGTGGCTGATCGGAATTGCAATTCTCATACTCTGTTTTGTTCACCTCCAACACATTCATTTGGTTCCTGTCGTACACAAAAACTAACACAAACAACCGCCAAATTACCCACAAACCAACTCATTACCTAAACAAATCCGCATCAGATCTATAAATAGAAGTGCTTACAGAGCCAGTCATCGTAATAGAAGTGTTTTCCCTCAGCCCAGATTGTGTAGTTCACATTGGTCGTCCAACCCATCTTGCCACCGACAGTCCACCGTGTCGCCGAAACTTCCGACATTGCCGTCAGCACAACTACCGCCGCCGCCACCAGCAGCCCTACGCCGCCGACCCTTGTTCTTAGAACCTGCATATCTCTGTATTTCAGTGTGTGTATCCATGACTGAGGAGTGATGCTTATAAAGATTAAAGAAGAGGTTGGTTTATAGATCCACAACTTCCATTACTTCTTTAATTCAACTCAACTACTGGGTTAGTACAAATTATTAAACCTCAACTTTTTTTTTTTTTAATACAAATTTAATTTTCAACGTCTATTTAATCCCAAAAGCTGTGTAAATTTAAAATTTTGGAAATGTGTAATTAATTTATAAATTTAGAATTTTAAGTTTAATTGAAATTTATTTTTAGGATTAATTATTAAAATATGGATAGAAAAGTTAGAATTTTTGTGATATAATTTATAGTATTGTGTGAGTCTTTACCATTGAGGGAGTCTTTTTTAAAGTTTAAAGATATTAATGTTACTTAAAAGTTTAAGGATATTGATAACATTAAATTAAATTAAAATAAAATAAAATAAATTAATTATTATTATTATTATTATTATTATTTTGATAAAGTGGAAAATTGAGGGCTCTTATTTTTATAAAATTGAAATAGTGGAGACCACTCATTCCACCCATAATATAGCAGTCAAATTATTAGTCATTTTACACAATTATGTAACTATAGGGACAATGGTCCTAACTTTTACAAAATTAGGGTTTTCTTTTGTAATTTTTGTAATTTCGAAGAAAATGTCCAAATTTTTGGATTTACAAAACATTGAGGGCTTTAAAAAAAAAAAAGAAAAAAAACCCACCATTTATAATTTCACAAATTCTTTAAGATCAATTTACAATTTAAGAGCACAATTCAATGAACTAAAGTATTCTCAATGTCTTTTAATAGGTTAAAGTCTCCTAAAATGAACTCACAAAAATAAAGAGTTGATGAATTGAAATGAATTTTAAAGACGAATAAGACACATAAGCTTCTCAAAACTTACCAATTTTAGTATAAAAAAAAATCAACATGAATAAAAAATTCCATTCTAATTGGTTGATTCATTCACTTGACAAGGCAATCACTTGTTTTTCTTGTATTAGTGAGTGTCTACGCCTCAACTAACTCACAAGACAATCACTTGAACCTCCCGACATTTGATTGTCAAAGAAACTCATAACATGTTAAATCCTAAGTATACGTCGCTCTCCTTTCAAATGGGCAACTCTAATCTTTTGTGTGTGTGTGTGTGTGTGTGTGTTTCGTTATTAGAGTTGGTGAAATGAAATTGCAAACATAATGATAACCAAAACATGAACCCAAATTTCCACTTCAGGTTGCAGAATCAGCATGAGAGAATGTGCATCTACACTACAGAATGTTTACTCTCAATATAGACATTAAAATTACCAAGTAATCCATACATCCCTTGTACTTCAAATTTTACAACTAACATTAGCGGATAACAAAAATTTACCACTGAATAATCCTCATCCCTATCTCCATCTTTACGCAGTGAGATAGAAAATTACCTCAGAGATAATAATCTGCCGGTGGGGAATGGTTAAAAATGGAGTAGCACTTGGAAACAAATCAAGAAATGTATTTTTCTTGCTGCTCTTGAAGAAGCCTTGCCGAAGACTTGGCATCCAGATAGAGAGCGCAAACTTCTTCGAGATCTCCCTGTGGATGTAAAGCAACCAAAACATATAAATGGAGCTCCGTTGTTTGGATCGACTTTCTAAGAGCTTAAACATAATTTTTTTACACTTCAATATATATATTTTTTTAACACTTCAAAAGTTCAATTCGAACATGTCCATAACGTCCCATCAACTAAAGAAACAAGAGTTTGCCATCTATACCTTGCATATGCTGTCTCGACCATTCATTTTTGCCACGACGCTAGCAGGCGATAGCAATTGAACTGCATGTCTACAGAACCACCAAAAGGTTTCAGTCTTCTTAGGATATATGTTTGCAACTGATTTGGCATTATCTTAACTTTTGTATTGCTCAAAAGTACTAACTTCCCACTCAAAATCATTACTTTTAGTAGTTTATAACCGCTTATAAAAGAATCAAAAAGGCAATCAAGTGCTGCAGAGATCTTTTGACCTATGTGAATTTAAAGTAAGCACTTGAAAGCAACTGATGTTATCATGTGCTTTTTACTAGAACGCTTGTAATCAAATTACCTCTATTAAACTTGGTTTAAAAGCATTCCAAACACAAATCTATTGTATGGTACCTTAACGACGTTCTCTGACCTATCTCCCCAAGGAAAGCTAAGCTTTCTTCATCTACAACCAATTCTTCCACCTGTGCCCGAATGGCTAATATCTTGACAAAGTATCAGTGATAGCATTGTCAGTGGTTTGGCACCTTCATATAAGGCATAAGATTTAAATTTCAACAAAAGAATGCAAGCTGACCTGAATCATCTCAGCAGGGCCATAAGTTTGTGTTCGGATGATCACCAACCGGTCAAGCAAATCGACAGGTATTCCATGAGGACTATTCATATCAGTCCCTCTGAAAGAAAGGATTTGTTCAGCAATAATTTTTTAACATCTGGAAAGATGTGTTTTCGTTTACAGTAATTAGTAATAGCTACATCATTCATGGTCAAAGATGTCGTTTATTTAAGATTTAGCAATGATGAAAAATTACACAAACAACCTATCAATAATTTTCCTTTTTTTTAAAAAAAAAAAACTCAACCATTGAGACATTAAATATGAATTCCACACAAAAAATGGAGGAAACATTTAAAACATGAAAAAGGTGCAAGAATGAGCAATTTGAAAGACAATCTACTAGGGGCAAGGCTTCCTACCGCACATTGCAGATTCCTCTGTTTGTTGCAAAGATCACTATTGGGGAGAGTGAGCTCTCTAAAGCTCGATTTAAGTATGAAAAGCACTCCATATCCAACATATGCACCTGGAAATTTTACTTACTTCATAAACAAACTAAAAGTTTTGATTACAAAGAATGATGAAAGAGCTGAAAGTGTAGAAATAACCTCATCAATGAATAGAACTCCTGGGACTAGCTCTGCTATACCTTCATCAATATATCGGTTAACAACCTGTCATTAAAATAAACCCCAAATAATTATACTTCTATTTCTTGAGTTTACAAATTCCAAACTTCTGAAATAGAATACCCTCCAGTAAGATCGAAAAATTTCATGAAATTTAGAACAGTTTTGGAAGAATGTTATCGTGTAGAATATGAAATATGGCAACAATACAGGTCTCAAGTTACTATTGAGAACATGCAAAATAAAAACAAATGAAAACAATTAACTCACATTCCCAATCAAGTACGACAATACTGTCCACAATTCAGGGAATCACCAAGAATGTATGTAACTCAGAAAAAGATCTTTCAAACAGAAAGAACTACCTTATTTATTTCTTGCCGCAACTTGTCTGTGATTTCCGTTTTCCTTGGCTTCATCATCTGACCCATTAGAGATAGTATATCCTGTCCACCTTGAGGCCGTGCATTGGCAGAATCTAGATCGTGAAGAGTCACATCCTGTCAGGCAGAAAAGGAAACTGCAATAAATTAATACAAGAACTGTCGCTGTTTCAATAAATGCATGTTCAAAAGCATGAACAAAAATGTAGGAAATAAGATTGCTTCTGAATCAGAATGCAGGAAAAAGGTATTTTGTCTACAGACCCCCAAATTTCAGAATGTTACGCCAGAAAGATTAAAAACTTAATTGCGCTATTAAAAACATGCATACACATGGATGCACATTCCAATCACTTGTATGAGACATGCTAGGCCCAAAGTTCTTAATGGAGCAAAGCATTCTAGTGCATAAGCTTCTTGCAGCTTAGTGCAAGATGAAGTAGCGTGAGTCAATTAGGGGTACAAATACAAGAAGTCAAAACAATATCATCAAACAATTGACTTCAAAATCATAACAAATAACTAACCTACACTAAACAGTTTCCAGTCAACCAGTATTGGACAAACTTTCAATATAAAAAAAATTACAGATATTCTACATGTTGTTTTAAATGTGCATGCTGACTTAATAGTTTTCATAAATAAGATTAAAAAAAACCATATAAAGTTAAAATGAGAACACCAGAATTATAGTAAAGAAAACACACATTTTAGGTAGGTTTTCTTAAGCTGGCAAACTAAGGATTTTGGACTGCATAAATTATAATACGATACTGAGGGAATGCTACACAATAAAGGTACATTTCACAGGGAGACAACCTGGACTATTTCTTTCTTTTTGTGAACCTCCCCTTTAGGAAGTGGAACATATTCTTCAGCTTCAAGATCAAACTCTGTAGCAAAAGCATCACTTCTACCCACCCTTTTCACAGCTCCACTGTTTGCTTCTATATATATAACATCGCCAACAGCTACCTGCAGAATGTGAAGATGAATACTCCCACCATTACAATAAGATCAAACCTCAGGATTACTTAGCATAAAGATGTTTCATTATAACCAAGATTGGTCACTAGTAAAATAGTACAATAAAAGTTGGAATAATGTAAGCAATTCTATTACATATAGGAACCACCCCCCCCCCCCCCCCCCC